AGAACTAAACTGTCAAAAACTATGGGAGAGTCCAGCAATATATATATATATATATATATATATATATATATATACACAATGTAACCCGGATATAAGAGACCCGGATATAAGAGAGATTTTATCTGGTCTGAAAGTGTTCCCATACTTACCTAAACAAAATAGACCAAACCCGGATATAAGAGAAACCCGGATATAAGAGACTTCTTTTCTGGTCCTGACAACTCTTTTATATATGGGTTACACTAAATATATATATATATATATCTGTGTGTGTGTTAGCACTGATAAATCATGGTAGCTGGAGCCCAATGCTTCTATTCTTGGTTTAGATGGTCTGTGGTTTAAATCAAAAGTGAGCCATGATGTCAAAACCAAAACAAAGTCCATGGAGTTGTCCACGAAAATGGGTAACACAGTGGCTAAGCATGTAAAATGTGTATTCAATACTAAGAATCAAATATTGACAGTTTTGGAAAACATTAAAATTATCCTTTAATTTCATATAAAAATCTGCACCAGTGTGAATAAATTTGAAAGATGATGACCTAAAATGATTCTAGTTATAAAGTGCCATGTCAGTAGATCCATCATCAATGACAGTAAAGATGGCAGAAATCTTGTACACATGAGATTTTAACATTTTAACAAGAAAAAAATAAAATTAATTTTTTTATAGTTTTAATAAGATTTTGAATAAAAACATTACAAAACATTGTATTGTAATGTATTAATAAAAATAATATAACAACACAATGTAGGAACATCTATGTAAAAGCTCAGGTTTCTATGCAATGTAATGATACAATACAAATTTTATGAAATTAATACAAAACATTTTTAATAAATTTACATGTATGTAGTGGAAAATAAAAATAAAGTTCATAATAACACTTTATTTAAGAAATTCAATAATGGAGAATTGCTTCTTGTTGTTGTTTTCTCTTTAGGATAAAGGCTGTAAGCTGCATATTTCACACTCAAAATGTCCATGAAGTGCTAATCCAAACCACTACACAACAATCGTGAGTGTGAAATGCCAAAGCCTAAACAATAGTAAATGTTGCAGAAAATATAGATATGCTGAAGGTATTAAACTGAATTTAATGAATTTATTAAAATAAAAGATTATCCAGAAAAAATCAGACTTTAAAAAGTGTCACAATCAAGTTTTAATTTGTTTCAAGTTGGCATTCACTGATGATTTTGATTCTAATATGAACATGACAAAAGATTTTGGGGTCCATCAAGAGCATGCGTGGCTTACGCGACTTTGTGGTTTATTGGTGTGCAGCTTAATGGCACTGACCTGTGTGTGTGTGTGTGTGTGTGTATATATATATATATATATATATATATATATATAATGTCATACATACAGTACTGTTTCACTGTATCACAGCTCTTCAGTGCGACTAGATATTGGAAAGTCTCAAGCCAGGACCAAAACCCAACCGATTTGGTGTCAGTCAGAGTTTCTACCTCTAAGCCATCAGCACTCGGCAGAGAGAAACTGCTAATTCTAGTGTATTGTTTTTATGAATTTAAACAAACACCAGTCAGAGTACTTGTATTCATTTTACTGAAGAGCTTTGCATTTTAGCATATGCAACTGCTGTGTGTAGAATTAGGCTGTCTCTCAATAGTGCTCAATTGAAATATATTTTCAAGAGCTTAATTATGTCATTTGCAGACAGTACTGTTTCAATGTATCACAGCTCCTCAGTGTGACTAGACATCTGAATGCCTCAAGCCAGGACCAAAACCTGACTCATGTGTGTGATAAAAATATAGTTTTAAATTATGCTATATTTATTTGCAAAAGTGCTCCATATTAGGAATAGATTTTATGTAAATATAAAAGTGGGCACTGAGGTCAACGCCAAATGGCAACAGTTTGCTTCATACTTGAATGCAATTTTCATGGCTTGAAGCATCCACTTATATTATTATTATTTTTATTTTGATACAAACTTTTAATAAGTAAAATGATTTTTTTTTAACTAATCCATGTCTGTAGGGATCAGAAATTTTCCATTCCCATCTCTATTTATTATAATGTTATACTCCAGATTTCCAAATGTTTCTTTACAACTTGTGCATTGCCTAAATGTTTACAAATGCCCCCCAAAATTCAGATTATTTTTAAAAGGCAAAGAATGGGATTTTATAAATGATAAAATTTAATTTCTATTACTGAAATGTAGTTATCATCTCTAAGTGTAAGTTCTGTGCATAGCATTTGGATATACAACTGCCACACTATCTCATAGGCTAACTTGTCAGCTGTTCCCTCAAAGTGCCATGCGTGCGCATATTAATAAACATAAATAATAAGGAACTGATATCTCCACTTGCATGTAACAAATTTTCAAACAATATATATGTAAAATAATATATTTTGAAGTTTTATTTACTTTTATTTTTTTTCCTCAATAATAAGAGTAGACAGGTTTGCCTATTGTCCAGTTCACACTCCTCCCTGGTCAGAAGTAGAGGTTTATCCCTTGTTTCCTGTTTAGGATTGGGTTTCTGGTTCCTTCTAAAGTCATGTCTTTCTCTTTCACTCTTTCACAGTAGCACTTATGTTTTAGTGGCATTATCTCCTTGCTTGGAGTGAATTGATTAAAACAAAAAAAGAAGATATATACTATACAACATTAATTGTAAATAAAAAAATTACAAATTTTGTAAGCTCTAACCATTAGATTGAGAAACCTAAATCTTTATGAGCTCTCTAGTGTTGGAACCTTGCATTTTCAACAATTGAAGTGAAGCAACTAATCTGGTGATAGGACAAAGTGTAGGATAAAATGAAGTTATGCCTTACACAGGAGCATTATTATCAAGTGAATATAAGCAACTTTTCTGAATGATTTCATTTGTTCTGTTGTTGATGACTATATCACCCAGAACAAGCAACTATTGATTAAACTGTCAATTAAGTTCTTGTCCTTGAAGTCCAAGGCAGGATTGAATGGACTGAATTTAAGTTATTTGAAAAGCCTTGATTGCTACCAAACAACCCAGCCAGGTCTTTAACAGTATGGTGACTATAATTCAGTCGGATGAAACAAATCAACCTCCAGAGATAAAAGCCTAAATAATGAGTAACAAAATCTGTCAGATTACTAAAACAGGTCACACAGAACTCTAAATACATTAGTCAGAGGAATAGCAAAGAAATTAATCTCTGTATCTCATTTATTGAAAGCTTCACATAGTTTTCTTGTGACCTCACACCTTCCGTTCTCCTATTTTACTGATAATATCTGCCAATTTTTACCCTGTTTACTATTATGTTTTGTCATCCCACCCCCACTCCCAATTTTGCTGTCACTTATTACCGGTTATAGATATTTATTCATTATTATATTATTGCGTACAGATTGAATTTGGAAAAATGAAGTTGGGATGATTACTTTTCTATTTCCACAAGCCTCATAAATTACAAGGTTCTTAGGGACACCACATGAACTACCACAGTGGTGTGTGTTTAGGCATGATAACCAGACAATCTCTCTTTGGGATTTTTGGTATAATAATCTTAATTTAACATTTAAATGTTTTCTAATAAAAACAGTAAACATTCATAGAGGTGGATTATATATAAAATAACTATCTATATATTAACAATATTATGATACTTGGCTGAGAAAACTAAAATATTCATAGAAGCTAATTATATATCAAATAATTCTCTCTCTCCCTCTCTCTTTCTTTCTCTCTCTCTCTCTATATATATATATATATATATATATATATATTTAGGCAGCAATCCTTCTTTCATGCACATTTCATTGAAAACGACAGACAAGGTGCTTTTATTTAGTTTTTTATACAATTTCTCATGCAATCTAATAATTTTTTTCTTTTCGGATGATAAATTATATAAAAACTGTCCAAATATTATATGTTATTTCAGATTCATATCAGGAATGGGCCTGGGAATTAAAGATTTTTATAAGGAGTAGATGTGGGAAATTTGTTGTCATAATCTAGAATTTGTATATTGAATTTTGCCATTTTTACACATAGTCTTAAGCAGTCTGAATTTCTTAGATGAAGCCTTGTCAATTATTATTCATTTTAACTAGTATTTATTTCATCTTATTTCTCTTGCTTTTCCACCAAATAGTAATAGTCTTGAGATGTCTATACTTCTTAGATGAAGCATCCTAGACACTAAATGATCAATGTGGACTAGAAATAAAGTCTGCGTCTCCCTAGATACTTATACTTTATTTACTGGTTACACCATAACTGTTCGAATGTTATGGAAAAAAACAATAATGCGAAAGAAAGGCTGATCAAAAATTAATAAGGAATTCAGACAAGACTGTTTCTTCCACTACAATGTGTAAACAAGCAACAGAAATACAAAAAGAAAACATTGATAGCAATTGAGAGAATTCCATTTTTAAAAGTACAAATAAACATCATCTTTGTCTATGACCTATTTCATGTGTCAGAAAGAAAACCAATAATGCTTTCTTTTTTTTTTTCCTATATGACACTGTGCAGTTCAAATATCAAAATATATTCACTATCAAATAATGAATAGAGAATGTAGCAGACAGTATCAATAAAAGTATGCCAGGAGGTGATGAACAAATTCTTCTATTAGAAAAGGTATATCCTTTTCTATTGTTTCCAGTCAATTACTTTTAATTTTATTGTTTTCGTCACAATATCTAATAATCTTCAGGTGTCATTTTATCATTATCGTCAGGTGCAACTTACAAATGATGACATTTTATGATTCAGCCCTAGGCTGAGTGTTGAATTTGTCTGTGATATTAACTTTTTGAATTAAATACACTTTATACAACACCTGTTAACTTTTGTAACTGTTCTGTTATACAAAAATAAAGAGATTCTAATCTAGTGGAAATTGTCTAAATCAGTCTTTCTAAGTTTGTTCCTCCTTATCTAAGTCTGTTTATATCTGTCTATCTATATTTGTACATATATGTCTGTTTCTTCCTATCTATCCATCTCAGTTTATTCCTATCTATCTATCTATCTCAGTCTGTTCCTATCTATCTATCTATCTATCTATCTATCTATCTATCTATCTCAGTCTGTTCCTTCCTATCTATCTATCTATCTATCTATCTATCTATCTATCTATCTATCTCAGTCTGTTCCTTCCTATCTATCTATCTATCTATCTCAGTCTGTTCCTTCCTATCTATCTATCTATCTATCTATCTATCTATCTATCCATCTATCTATCAGTCCATTCCTCAGTCCTATCTATCTATCTATCTATCTATCTATCTATCTATCTATCTATCTATCTATCTATCTATCTCAGTCTGTTCCTTCCTATCTATCTATCTATCTATCTATCTATCTATCTATCTATCTATCTCAGTCTGTTCCTTCCTATCTATCTATCTATCTATCTATCTATCTATCTATCTATCTAAGTCTGTTTATATCTGTCTGTCCATCTATGTAAAATATAGTTGTTAAAAAAAAAAAAAAAATCAAACCTTATTTCTACCATGACTGCACTTACAGATCTTCAGGCAGGAACAGGTAGAATTTTTTTCCCAACACATGGATATATTTACTGTCAGTGACAAAGAAATTTTTCGTATAATAATAATGTCAAAAACAAAATAAGACCTTCTACCTGAGTTCAAACTTGGTCAAGAGGAATTTCCTTGTCTGTTTACACACTGTCTTCACTTTGGATACTCCCAGTCAGCAATATACGCTAGTTTGGGTAAGTTGTTTTCACCATCTTCTCAAATGCTAATTTCTTCATTGCAAATGGTACATATATCTGTGTTTTGGAAGAAAAATAGGAAAAAATCCTACCTGTTACTTCTTGAAGATCTGTAGATGATACTGCAATGGAGGTTAATTTTTTTATTTTACCAATGATAATTTAAACAAAGATTTAAATTACTTGGTATTGTTTGTTCCTCATATCACAGTGAGTAATTTTAATTCATGAAACTATTTTTTTTGTATTTTTGGCTACTTTTAATTTTCCTAATTTTTAGAAAGGATGTGCATGTAATTTTGTGTTTCTTGACCCCAAAAAATCAATGGGAAAGCAATTCACTATCTTTCCCAGCAATTGATGGCAATTTACTGCTAACAATGAAAAGGAAGCTGTGGAGAGCCATGATCCCCTACTCCCTGAAGGAACATGGTATTTTAAAAAAAGGAAATTTTTAGATAGTTAATGAGAGGATTGACAGAAATATTTGCATTATTTATGCATATGATACTTCGGATTTGACGTCTTATTTTTTGGCACATTTTAGCTGCTACAGTGCCTAAAAAAATTCATAGCCTTGGGAAAAGTATGAAAATTTCATAGCCTGCCAAAGACAAGGTTTTTTTTTTCTACTTTCTTTATGCAGAACACAAATTGCCCTTTCTCACCTGCATTATTATCATGGATCTTCAATAAACTTCTTGACAGTTTTTGTGGTACTTGCTGATTATCTATTTGCAATTTCCAGCACGGAGTCCCTGTTAATGACTTTTACATTCTCTGAAGTTATTAAACTTTACTCTTTATTCATTAAATGAACCTTATAACCTATTTTAAGGCTTCACACTCATAAAATAGCTTATTAATTTGAGACTTTGAAAGTCAGGATATTCATGCAAATAACTAGTTTGTTTACATTCATGCAGACTGACTTGGCTTTAGACCTAACTGTGCAGCTAGACATTACCATCATTCAACAGATAAAATTTTAGATTTATTATATCTATCAATAAAATATAAAGTGGCTAATAATGCAAGATACAGTGTTTATATAACTGAAAAGAGTTTGTTTATTCACTATCCACTGGCAAGTTTCATAGAGAGCTTTTAAATTTGGTCTGCATGCTTATTGGAGCCAGGAGAATGTTTAAATATATGATTTATTGTTCCTCATGGATAAAGGGTGGAACTCTACCTCATTTCTCTTATATAAAAATAACTTTCTTCGTAACAGTTACCATTTGTAACTGTTTGGTGTAAGACTGCAATTGCTTTTGTATTATTATTGTCTTAACAAGAATTTGTGTACTTTGAGAAAGTAACTTTACAAAACGTTTTTTAGTTTTCCCTAAATATGTTTTCTAATATTTTTGGTATTTTTTTTTTCAATGGGAATCTTACCAGGAAAAAAGCATAATTTACTTATTTTTTCTTTTTGGATACTGGAACCCGAGTTCATGTTAATGACTTTTGACTCAGAAATTAACCTTGAATGATAACGTTTTTTAATTGGCAACAAAAATTGGAAAATAAACATTGATTAATGATTCATTTCATTTCTTTCTCTTTGATATATGTGATTTATGTGAGATTAATTTTCAGGATCTCTCTCTCATTCTTTCTCTCTCTCTCTCTCTCTCTATATATATATATATATATATATATATATATATATATGAGTGTGTATGTGTGTGTGTACAAGAGCAAAAATTTTGTAGCAATTCATCAGTTTGCATTTAATTTTCATTGGTTTCTCAGGCTGGAAGTACTAGAATTATTCATTAATTTTACCTAAATTTTATATTACTGTTTTCTTTCAAGCACTGACCACTTTTCATACGTTTTACATATTTTTTTACAGGTTTTCCATTAAAGGCATAAAGTAATTTATTTTTATATATACTTGTTGGTATAAAAATATTATACAGCAAATTTTAAACACATGCATATATATATATATATATATATATATATATAAAATGAATTCCTCTCCAAGCAAGATGATAATGCTACTAAGATACAAGGGGCTACTGGGAGTGAAAAAGAATGAGAAGACTTCAGAAAGAACTGGAAACTCATTCCTAAACATGAAATAAAGGATAAATGTCTACTCCTGTTCAAAAGACCAGAGAGGAGTGTGAACTAGAAAATAGGCATCAGATAAAATCTATCCTTTAGCCCCTTCCATCAGGTTCATTAAGTTTTACTCAAAGATTTGTCCATGAAAATTATGTTAGAAAAATCAATTTTCATGTATTTTTTGGTCTGATTTTGATGCTTAAAATATTTGCTTTATGAGTTTGTCTGGAAGATTTTTTGACAGATCCGAATTTATGAAGTATTCTACACCTTTTCTCCTTTTTAACTCCCTCAATTCCAAGCTGTTCAAAAATCTGGGAACTGTTCAAAAGTGGTTGCTTTATTATAAATCGCTTTAGTTTACGTTCCCCTCAAGGTGACACGTTCTTTCTTTTTGCTTCTAGTTCTGTTTTCAACAGCTGTCCTTATTGTTAAGTGATCTCTGCAAAGTTCCTTTGATGTATCCAATGTAAACATTCTCTCAATAACATTAATATTTTCTGTTTTTCAGCATTTCTTAGATCCTTTCCATTAACCATCTTCCAACATATATTATGGAAAAAAAAAGAAAAAATAGTTTCAGAGGCCTTAAACTAATATTAGTTTAATTTGCATAATAACTTATAATAAATCCAAATTTTATTAAATACTAGCCGGTTTTGCCCACTCCCTATCGCAAAGTAAGATATACTCTTTACATGAAATCTTTGAAACAAAAATTTTAAATGAACATTTCATTCATAAATTGGCTTGTTATAGTTAAGGAAAGTTTTACAAACATACCAACTTGTTGAAGGCCAAGTAAAATGCAAATTTCAAATGCTTTTCTGCACGTTATAAGACAGAACTATTTTTGATATGAAAATCAAAACAATCCTCAAATAAAAAACAGTAATGAAGGACAGTTAATTAATGAAATAAACTTTTTAAAATCAGTATGCAAATCAGTTAAACCTGAAGAGTGATATTAGAAGTAGATAATATATCATACAGATATTGAACTTTTAGTGTGTAAATCCCTCCTTGGAGAGGTGTATGCACTCGGATACTTACGAGTCACAGGGCTCCATCCCTGTGCTGGTGGTATCATGGCTATGACTAGCTTGGACTGGCTCTGACCAGCTTGGACAAGCTATGACCAGCTAAGACCAGCTTAGACCAGCAGCCCGAGTGAAAACACTCAAGTCCCCATGTTAAAAACTAACCTTGTGTCACAACCTGACTCAGTGGATGTCAAGTAAATACCGTGTAAATTCTTCCTTGGAGAAATCTCTCAGTTGCGTCTTTGGGCAGAGTGTTCTCAGGGGCTACTCGGTCAAAGGACAGAGTTGCAACTGAGGAAAATTATACTGAGAGGTGCCCAGCCCTGTGGAACAGCTGCCAGAGGCAGAGAGAGGGATCAGTGCTTGTACTGAGGCCAGCACAACCGACGGTTACTGGTGCTGTGGGCAATTTTTGTTCCTTGCCTGGGTGTTCATGCTCGGGTCCGCACCTTAAAAAAAACCTTGTGTCATATCTCATCTCAGTGGGGAGACAGAGTAAATACCGTGTGTAAATTACTATAAAGTAGAGCTGGGGCTTTTTAATCTCAGAATTTGTGGGAGAATTGAACTCCAATTTCACATTTATTCATATAGATTCCATAATGTAGGTTTTACTTAATTAGCTATTATGTTTCTCTAACTCTTCAAATGTTGAATGTATAACTATTTTTATTTTCCCATTTTTACAATATATTAATTTTATCTTATAAATTGTCCCTTGTTCTGTCACCCATGAAATAGAGATAGTTGTTTGTACTGAAAATAAAGATCTATGTACATCAAATCATCTTTAAATTAAGTGGCACCAGAAGAATTATCGTTGAACTTTTAAAAGGTAAGATTAAACATTAATTTAATACTTAAATGCAGGGATCAATTTTGAGTTCTTATGTAGTTTATTGATGCCTATCGCATTTACTCTTCCCTAGCTGTTGTGATGATGGCCAAACCAAGAGTCATCCACAGGAGCTAGCTTAAATGCTGCTGTACTTTATATATAAGATGTTGAAATTATCTGAAAATTTAACTCAGTCTTTATAACAAATTAGTCATTTAAAATTTGATAAAATTGTTCAAAGCAAATTTAAGTTATTGAGGTTTATGTGACATGCATAACAACTTCAAATGCACTGCATATATGCATACTATACTTAAATAGTATAAACACTGATCAGTCTTGTTCTACTTGATTTATTTTTTTCTTTTTGCTGAATAAGTTAAAGATGAATGAGATGAAATCTCTTTGATGTCTTCTGCCTGGCCATTCTGGTGGTACTTAGCTTCCAGCTGACCATTTGACATTTCTTTCCAATCAATCAAACTGCCTTAGACATTTACCTTTTGTTATTCTCTATATAATATACCCTGCCAGCCCAAAATAACCCAGACTCTATCAGGACTGGGGTGGGGGTATAAAACGTCCAGGACCTTGAAATGTAATTAACTGCACTTTCAGAGAACTGATGCTGTATACTGGAAACATGTTTACTTTTAGTAAGAACAATGGTAATGTAAATCTATACAGAGTAAATAAAGGGTTCAGTTTGAAATTCCAACATATATCACCTGAGGA